TGCAAGTGCGAACTCGTGAACCCAGCTGCTCAGATTTGTGATCACCCGTTAAAAGTATCTAATTCCTTCCCTTACTATCTGGCCTAAACAAAATTAATATGTCTGTATTTAACAGTATAACAACTATTTGTAAATTCTTCTAGTTCATAGAATCTTCATATTCTTCAATCTTCAAATGACTAGCATATACTATACCTTTCCGCTGAATTTGGAACCATAAAATGGGTTTAAAATTTTTTAGCTTGATATAGATTTGTTGTTTATTAATCTCTCTCATTAATTCAGGAGTCTGATGAACCAGAGCTTGAAGATGTTCCAGTGTTTCGCCAGGTTGCTATTATTAGCTTCAAGTGAGAATGCTTTTGCTGTCATTTGAACCCCGTTAGAACCTGGCCTGGGCTTGGCTAACTGCTCCAAAATGCAACAGGGCAGACATCAGGGATTCTCATCTTCTGAATGACTGACACTTGTCTGCTCAATTACTGTCTGCTCAAATTTTTTTTGGCTGAAAAATATGTGCCCAGCCTTATCACAAACAACTAACAAGTTACTTGAATGTAAACCTGTAAAGGAAGTATATATACACACACACACATATATATATATATATATATATATATAAGGTTTACCTTGATGTAACACATTTAATTTACTGTTGTAAGGCTGGGCAAAAAAAGAAAAAAGAAAAAAAGCTTTTGTTTAAAAAGTTGTTAAAACGAATTCAATTTCATTTATTATATAGATGTACCAAAGTACATGTGCATTTGATGCTTTTTAATGAAATGCATTTACATTTTGGAGTTGTCCAGTCAAGTCACCTTTATTTATATAGTGCTTTATAGAATATTGATTGTGTCAAAGCAGCTTTACAGTGTCAAACAGGAAAATAGTTTGTCAATAACAAGAAGACAATAACAGAGTCATTTTTCCAGCTAAAGTCCAAAAGTTCATTCATGATTCAGTGATGATTGATGATTCAGTGATGTCATCATCCAGTCCAGCTCTCTTCCAATAGTGTCTGTACAATCAGTCAAGCATCCCCAACAAAGCATGCCAAAGGCAACAGTGGCAAGGAACCAAAACTCCATCGGTGACAGAAATGGAGAAAAAACCTTGGGAGAAACCAGGCTCAGTCTCTGGCCAGATGAAACCAGCATGGCGTGGTTTAATTCCAGGCTGCAAGTGAGGCAAAGCGAACGCACACCTGTAGAGGTGCAAGTTGAAGGAAAAAATTACCTAATTGAAAGAGAACAACTGCACACTCACTTAAGCATAGGCTATTTGAGTGAGTGTGCAATTAGTTAATTCCAGGCTGCAACACAGGTCAGAATGTGCAGAGGACTTGTCTGGTTCTCGTGGTCCTGTGCCGATGGTCGTCGAGGTGAAGTTGTAAAAGTTTTGTGGTATTGTGGAAAAATTATTAAACTATACAGTGTGTGTGTGTATATATATATATATATATATATATATTATATATATATATATATATA